ACGAAGGAGGACAGGATGGACCAGAGGGTCATTCGTGGGCTTCCGAGAGAGATGTCAGTCAATGACATCAAAGAGGATCTGGTGAGCCAAGGCATCGCAGACGCCGTGGTTCAGCAGCTGACCTCAAGGACCACAAAGAAGCCACTTCCGCTCTTCCTCGTCAAGACGAAGATGCCGGAAAAGCTTGCAGAGATCCAGAGGCTGGCCATGCTCACGGTCAGCTTCGAGAGGAAGAAAAAGTCTTCCGAGCCCAGCCAGTGCTACCGCTGCCAGCGGTACGGGCACACACAGCGGAACTGCCGTCTCGCTGAACGGTGCGTTAAGTGTGGAGAGGACCACAACAGCACCAGCTGCAGTCTGCCAGCGCCGCCAACAGGGCAACGAAACGCCAAGTGTTGCCTCTGTGGAGAAGGCCACCCCGCCAACTACAAGGGATGTAGTAAGGCGCCGAAGAAAGCTGCTTCTGCCCCCCCAAAGCAGTCCCCACCACAAATAGGACTTCTTACGCCCAAAAAGTGAAGAAGCCTATGTCCACTTCTGCCCCAGCAGCCGCCACTGCTACTGGAACTACTGCGCAGAAGCAACACGGCGATGACAGACTGCTAGCAATGATGCAAGCCATCATAACCCGCCTGGATGCACTCGAGGCCAAGATGCAAGACAAGCACTAGACCCGAAATGTCTACAGGTCAAAACGTAGAATCTCTACGCATTATCTCCTGGAACATCAACGGTTTCAGGGCACGGAAACCAGAAATCCAGGAGATACTAGACCAGTACCAACCAGAGGTGATGGCCATCCAAGAAACGAAGTTGGATGCTGCCCATAGTCTGACGTTCCCGCGGTACGAGACGTACCGCTACGACAGAAGGGGCAGAGGTGGAGGAGTCGCATTACTCGTCAAACGTACCTTGACGAGTCATGTCCTCGACGATGCCGCAGACATAAATGGGGACGGAATCACGGTCCAGGTCCATCACAACCACCGTCCCTACAGAATCACCTCCCATAGGTGCCACCAGGGGAGCCCTAGACGAAGATGACATCGCTGACCTCCTGAGAGGCCCAGGAGCACGCATAGTCATCGGAGATCTAAACTGCAAGTCTCCGGCTTGGAACAACAACGTCGAAGACAGGAATGCAAGGCAGCTCCAGGAACACGTCGATGCCCTGGCGGGGGTCATCGTCGGTCCGGAGCAACCAACCTACATTCCATTCGGCCTTGGGCGACCTGCGGTACTGGACATAGCCATCCTCCGCAACATCAGAGAGGAGTTCGAGATAGAGACCCTGGTGGAAGGATCGTCGGACCACAATCCGATTCTACTAACACTTGGTACAGGGTCTAGAACTCGAGATAGCTTGAGCACCAAACGGACGAACTGGAACCTTTACAAATCCAACGTCCAGAGGAACATCACTCAAATTCCAACCATCCGATCAGCGGAGGAACTGGACAACGCAGTAGAGGAGCTGGAGAATGCTGTCCTGCGAGCGCACGAGGACAGCACCCGCTCCGAGACTACGGCAGTTCCTAGATACCTAAATGGTCCAGCACCGCACCATATTAGGCACCTGATCAGGGAGAACAGAAGACTCAAGCGAGAACATCTCCAGCTGTTGACAGAGGAGTCGAGAGTTGCGCGAAACAGAGCATCGTTAGCTCTGAAGAACGCACTCGCGGAACTCCAAAACAACAGATGGAATGCAGCCTGTGCAGAACTAGAGACCCAGGATGGTACGGCCTGGTCTATGCAGCGAAAATTTCGTCGTCAGCGCACCACGATCCCCACTCTTCACGGCCAACGCGGCTTGGCCTACTCCAGTGAAGAAAAAGCCGAAGCATTCGCCGATTCGCTAGAATCCGAATGCAGACTCAATTACCATGAAGACGAGGACGACAACCACGAGGAGGCCGTGGAAGTCGCAGCCGAAAACATGAGGAGTCGACCACCTGGCCAGGAGACGGATCACCCCTCCAGTCCAGAGGAAATCCGTCTGATCATCCGCAGGTTGAAGGTCAGAAAGGCGCCGGGAAGGGACGGCATCAACAATAGGATGCTGAAGAACCTTCCCACCAAAGGCATTGCTGCGCTCACCAACATCGCCAATGCCACTCTGAGACTTAACCACTTCCCGCGGCGGTGGCGGGAAGCCCAGGTTATAATGCTCACCAAGCCAGGCAAGGACCGGAAGTTGCCCCAGAACTACCGGCCCATCAGCCTGGTTTCCTCGGTGGGCAAAGTAGTCGAAAAGGCTATCGCCGTTCGACTAGAGAAGCAGGCAGAAGAACTGCAACTTCTCCCCCCAGAGCAATTCGGCTTCAGATCCTCCCACAACACGGAACTCCAAGCGCTACGACTGACGGAAAACATCACCAGCGGCTTCAATCTCCAGGAGGCAACCGGTCTCGTCCTGCTGGACGTGGAACGAGCCTTCGACCGAGTTTGGCACGATGGACTCATCGCCAAAATGGAAGCCGCCGGAATCGATGCGAACATGTGCCAACTGATCCAGAGCTATCTAACACAAAGATGGTTCACGGTGAAGATTGGTACATGCCATTCAACAAGACGTCAGCTGGAAGCAGCGTGCCCCAGGGGTCAGCCTTAGCCCCCCTGCTCTACAACATCTATACTTACGATGTGCCGAAGACAGCTGACACAATGCTGGCCCTATATGCAGACGACACTGCTATAGCCGCCAAGCATAGACGACCCGAGATCATCCGTAGGAGACTACAGGGTGAACTGGACCAAATTCAGGACTGGTGCGTGAAATGGAAAATCCGCATCAACGTCCAGAAGACGCAGGCAATCTTCATTCAACGAAGAAGGATTGCAAGACCTCTCGAAGCATCCATCTTCGATGAAGATATCCAGTGGAGCGACAATGTCAAATATCTGGGGATCGTTTTTGACAAGTCCCTCACCTGGAAAGCGCACATAGAAGCTGTCATCGCAAAAACCAGAGCAGCCATGGCTCAACTCTATCCATTACTGGGTAGACACAGCCAGATGCCGCTAGCGACCAAGCTACGGCTGATCAAGGCCATCGCCAGACCTCAGCTCGCTTACGCCTCCGCGGTCTGGGGGTACGCTGCCCCCAGCTACCGCAAGCGACTTGCTGCTCTAGAGATGAAGCTACTCCGGATCGCCACCAATGCACCTTCCTACGTAAGGAACTCAACCTTGCGTAGAGACCTGCATTGGGATACCATCCACGAGTACATGAGGAAAAAAGCGGAGAAGACCTTCGAGAAAGCTCAGGACCACCCGAACGAGCAGCTACGATTCCTCATGGACTACGATCCGGACGAGAGGCCTCGCAACCGCAGAACCAGGTACCCCAGACCAAGGTCCCAGTTGGCACCCGCTAACTGGAACCTTGACTAGGAGACTAGGAGAATTTGCGGCTGCTCCCCCCCCCCCACGGCGTGGATGCAGAGGACCAGGAACCACCGGGACCAGGACCCCCGGGACCAGGAACCAACCAGGACCAGGACCCACCAGGACCAGGACCCTTCAGGACCAGGACCAGGAACAACATATTGGTAAGATGACTTGAAACTCTTGATTTTTCGAAAACAAGAGTTTCAAGAGAAACTAGCAGACCCTCTATCGATGATCGCTTAACGACATCGATAGAATGTGCGAGGTAAAGGGAACCAACCCGGCGTTCCCAGAGACTGAAACACATGAGGAGACGTTGTAGCAGACCGCAGGTCACGCACAACACATGGCCTACCGAGACGCTGATGAGTCGGGCCACGCGGAGGTTTAGGGTTTAGTGGGTATTAGGTGATCTCTTCAAGACCCTGGAGCCCCACACACGTCGTAGCTCGTGCTATGGTATGGTGCGTAAATGCATTCCCCCCTCGTTAAAAAAAAAAAAAAAAAAAAACATACCATCAGCAGCCAACCACCGAGGATAGCAGACGTGACCAGTGAGACCGCAAGCGACAAGGCGACACCGAAGCGACGACGCGACAAAGCGACCGATCAGCGACGACGCGACAGCGACGCGACGACGCGACCAACGCGCGGAAACGCGAGAAAAACGCGGAAACGCGAGTGAGACACCCACTCGATAAGGCAAAGCCTAAATCGGGTGGACGAAGAAACATTACACAATTCCCATCTCGTTGGGAATTGTGTAAAAGCGCGACTTGCGAAAACAGACGCACCAAAGTGGGCCGACAAACCCACAGTGAAGTGTAGTGAAGTGCAAAGACACTAGTGAGTGAGTGGTACACAATTCTCAGAGTGCGGCGACAACTGAGAATTGTGTGAAAGTGGGCCGACGAAGCCACAGCCGGAGTGCAGTGAGCCGAGAAGGCACCAGTGCGCGAGTGGTACACGTTTCTCAGAGTGCGGCGACTGAGAATCGTGCAGAAGTGAGCCGAGAAGGCACCAGTGCGAGAGTGATACACAATTTCCAGAGTGCGGTCACAACTGGAAATTGTGTAAAAGTGCAGTGAAGTGAATCGAACTCGGAAGAGTCGATGGTGGTGATCGAGCGCGACACCATAGATAAGGTGACCAAGATGCTGGACGACGAAAACACGTATTCCTCGTCCAGCGAAGAGGAGGAAGAGGTCCAGGAAGAGGAACCTCTACCAAAAGGATGGAAGAGAGAAAACCGCGAGCTCAAGAGGCAGATAGCGGAACTATCCTGCCAGCTAGCGACCTGACGCGTCAGCTACTGGAGGAGAGAAGGATAAGCGCCGAAGAGCGCGAGAAGACGGCCAAGCTCATCGAGCTCATGGCCGCAAGACAAGGGATTGAGATAGACGATCCCAAAAAGAAGACTAAGAGGAAGGCCGATAAGACCGAGGAGGTTGACGAGAAACCAG